CCCTATGGCTTATGTTATACTTTTCAAGGACTCCTTTCATCATATTGTTTACAAAATGGGTACCTCATCACTAATCATAGCTTTGGGAGTACCAAATTATGTAAAAATATGCTTATGAAAAAATTTAACTACTGTATTTGCATCATTTGTGTGACAAGCTGCAGCCTCTACCCATTTGGATACATAATCTACAGCTACCAAAATGTATTGATGGTTTTCAGACATGGGAAATGGTTTCATAAAGTCTATCCCCCATACATTAAAGAGTTCCACTTCAAGAATGCCATTTAAGGGCATTACATGTCTTTGGGAGATAGATCCAACCCTTTGACATTCATTGCACCTTTTGACAAAGCTATCAGCATCTTGAAATAGGGTAGGCCAGAAAAATCTAGATTGTAGGACTTGGTTGCAGTTCTTTGGCCTCCAAAGTGGCCACCATATGCAGTAGAATGACAATGTTGCAGGACTACAGACACATCCTCATTAGGTATACACCTTCTAAGGATCTGGTGATCACCTAACTTAGACAAAAATGGGTCATCCCATAGATAACTCTTTGCATCACGGAATAACTTCTTTCTTTGGTTCTTGTTTAGCTCTGGTGGTATGATCCCAACAACCAAGAAATTTGCAATGTCTGCAAACCATGGGGTTGTAGAATGATTCAGCATTAAGAGTTGTTCATCCTAGAATTTTTCATTGATTTCTCCAGAACTTGATTCTCCTTTCTGTAATATTGATAAGTGATCTGCAACTTGGTTATTTATTTCTTTCCTATCCACTACCTCAATGTGAAACTCTTGTAGCAAAAGCACCTACCTTACTAACCTTGGCTTGGTATCCTTTTTAGAAATCAAATAATTAATGGCAGCATGGTCTATATGAACAATAACCTTAGTCCCCATTAAGTAGGATCTAAACTTTTCAAATGCAAATACCATAGCTAAGAGTTCCTTTTTAGTTGTTGTGTAGTCTATTGAGCATCATTTAGAGTTTTACTAGAATAGTAGATAAGATGAAAAACCTTTTCTTTGATTTGGCCTAAAACTGTACCAACTGCCCAATTACTTGCATCACACATCAATTCAAAAGGTTTTGTCCAATCTGGTGTGATACAATGGGGAAGAAATCAAAGCCTTCTTCAAAGTCTCAAAAGTTGATTTACACTCTTTTGTTGAAATCAAAAGGTTGGTCATGTTGTAGTAGCATACAGAGGGGTTTAGAAAATTTTGAAAAGTCTTTTATAAATCTTTTGTAGAAACCAACATGACCCAAGAAAATTCTTATTCCTTTTACATTGTAGGCTTAGGTAGACTTTCTTAATTGGCTTTGTCTACCTCTATTCCTCTTCTTGAGATTACATGTCCTAAAACAATTACTTCCTTAATCATGAAGTGACATTTCTCCCAATTTAGAACTAAATCAGTCTCCTCACATCTCTTAAGACCTTGTTCTAAATTCTTCAAACACTCCTCATAAGAAGATCCATATATAGAGAAGTCATCCATGAATATCTCCATAAATGTTTCCACCATATCACAAAAAATAGACATCATGCATCTCTAAAATGTGGCATGAGAATTACATAGTCCAAATGACATTCTTCTAAAAGCAAATGTATAATAGAGGTAAGTGAAAATGGTTTTCTCTTGATCCTCAGGTGCAATAACAATTTGATTATAGCCTGAATAACCATCTAAAAAGCAGTAGTATTCTTTTTCACCCAATCTATCCAACATCTGATCTATGAAAGGCAAGGGGAAATGGTCTTTATAGGTTGCTTTGTTAAGCTACCTATAATCCATGCATATTCTCTATCTTGACACTATCCTAGTTGGTATTATTTATTTTTCTCATTTTCTATTATAGTCACTCCTCCTTTCTTAGGCACACACTGGACAGGACTTACCTAAGAACTATTAGTTATAGTATAAATAATGCCAGCATCAAGCCATTTCAAAATCTCCTTCTTAACTACTTCTTTCATCACAGGATTCAACCTCCTTTGGGGTTCAACAGAGGTAAAGTCCTTGTATTTCAAAATGATTTTGTGTTGACAAATAGATGGACTTATACCCTTCAAATCAGAGATGGTCCAAACTATGACTTTTGTATGGAGCTAAAGCATTTTTACTAGCTATTCTTCATGTTTTTCTTCTAATGATGATGAAATGATTACATGCAGCTTGTTATCTTCTCCCAAAAATGCATACTTAAGATGGGCAGGTAATTACTTCAATTCTAAGTCTGGCGGGGACTCTGTTGATGGCAATGGATTCTGTTTGGGCTCATCTTCTAACAGCTCATATACTGCAGCTTGTTGCAACATCTCATCACTATCCTCTAAATCACTATCCTCCTCACCACTATTTTTAAATGATTCAGTCTTTTCACCTAGGATTTCCTCTAAATCTTCTTCATGACACCATGACTCTATATCACCAACCACAGAACAGCCCTCCTTTTCCTTAGGATATTTCATAGAGTTAAAAATATTAAAGGTGACATTTTGGTCCTACACTCTCATGGTCAACTCTCTTTTTCGAAAATTAATGAGGGTTCTACCAGTGGCTAGAAAGGGTCTTCCTAACATAATAAGGGTGTCTTTGTCTGCCTCAAAGTCAAGGATTATAAAATCAGCAGGGAATATGAACTTGTCCACTTGTACCAATACATCCTCTATCTTTCCTTTGGGAAATGCTATGGATTTATCAACCAATTGTAAGGTAACAATGGTTGGCCTAGCCTCTCCTATCCCTAAGGTATTAAACACAGATAAATCATAAGATTGATGCTAGCTCCTAAATCACACAAGGCTTTTCCAACATGCTTCCCACCTATTAAACAAGGAATTGTGAAACTTTTAGGGTCTTTAAGCTTAGGGGGAAGTTTGTTTGATAGGAGGGCACAACAACCTTCAGTAAGGGCCATAGTCTCATATTCAGTCAATTTCTATTTCTTACTTAAGATATCTGTTGGGTCCGAAAAACCTAAGCGTTCCCTAGATCCAGTCAAATCCGCGAATCTTAAACCCAACGCTCCTGTAGCAATGCAGGAGCATCCCACATCAGTGAGGCTAGGGAGATTCGGCTTCCTTATAAGGAAGTGAAAGTCTTACTCCTACCAGTGACGTGTTTTAAAGCCGTGAGGGGTTGTGCTGACCAACCCAGAGCAGACAATATCACGTAGGCGGCTCCCTAGTGCANAGTCTTACTCCTACCAGTGACGTGTTTTAAAGCCGTGAGGGGTTGTGCTGACCAACCCAGAGCAGACAATATCACGTAGGCGGCTCCCTAGTGCAGTTACCGGTCCAACAATTGGTATCAGAGCTAGGGCCGCACCAATATGGGGGGGGAATGTTGGGTCCGAAAAACCTAAGCGTTCCCTAGATCTGGTCAAATCCGCGAATCTTAAACCCAACGCCCCTGTAGCAATGCAGAAGCATCCCACATCAGTGAGGCTAGGGAGATTTGGCTTCTTTATAAGGAAGTGGGAGTCTTACTCCTACCAGTGACGNGCCCCTGTAGCAATGCAGAAGCATCCCACATCAGTGAGGCTAGGGAGATTTGGCTTCTTTATAAGGAAGTGGGAGTCTTACTCCTACCAGTGACGCGTTTTAAAGCCGTGAGGGGTTGTGCTGACCAACCCAGAGCGGACAATATCACGTGGGCGGCTCCCTAGTGCAGTTACCGGTCCAACAATATCTTTCAGAAATTTGGCATACTGCGTAGTCTCAATTGCTTCCACCAATGGAATGTTGATGTGCAATTGTTTGAATACATCCAAGAACTTTTTGAACTAAACCTCCTTCTTCTGGTTTCTTAACCTCTGTGGGTAATAAACATAAAGTGGAACTTGGCTAATCACTGGTTTCTTAGGATTTTGGATAGTAGGCACAACAAGTATAATAGGGGTACTATCTGCTGATTTGGATGGTGGTGTCTCAACATGGTCCTTGGATGGTGGACCTTTGACAACACTATCAGGACTTGACTTTATGGTTGTTGGTTCTGTTTCACTAGGAAAAAGCAATGGAAAATCAGATCTGCTTGGCATGGATGCAGATCCTTGATTTGTTGCAGGTTCAGGAACAATAGGAGGGGTTGTTGCAACAACAGGTGGTATTGCTGTAGCACTTGGTTGTGTTTCTATAGTGGCTTTTTGTGGAATTTCTACTAGATCTTTTCCACTCCTTAAGGTTACCACTTTCATATGCTCTTTGGTCAGTATCTTAGGGATCTCATTATCATTGGGTAAAGTTCCAACATGCTAGTTCCTTAGCTCTAGTGCTATTTGACCAAGATGTGTTTCCAAAGTCCTAATGTTAGCATTTTGATGATTCATAGTTGAGTTGGTTTGATTTATAAAACCTTTTAACAATGCTTCCAAAGAATTGGATTAATCACCCTTACTAGTTTGGCTTGTTTTGAAAATTAGACTAATGCTGAAAATGAGCAATTTGATTTTGAGAAACATTTGGTTGAAAACCTTGTCTTTGCTCTTTTATAGCTAGTGGGTTCAAACATGGACTGTTCCAAGAGAAATTAGAATGGTTCTTCCAACTGGAGTTGTAGGTGTTTGAAAATTGGGCAGGTTTGTTATGCACAAAGTTCATAGATTCAGAGTTAAGGCTGCATTGGTCAAAAGTATGACCTTCACCACAATACACACATTGGACAAGCAAGGATTTAGAAACAACTGTAGTGGCAACAGTATTAGCAGCGAGGACACTAAAAGTTTTTCAACAAGCTGGCCATGGTTGTTAACTGTGCAGTAAGACTAATATAAGGATCTACTTCATGAATGTCTGTTGTCTTTCTGGGTACTATTGCTCTAGGATCTGCCCAGTGACCATTGTTGTTGGAAATTTTCTCCAAAATATCAAAATCATCATTATAGGTACTGGAAGTAAAGGCTCCGCCTGCAGTAGCATCTAACATTTCTTTAGCAGTGGTATCAAGACCATTATAAATGTTTCTAGCTGGATGCAGTAGGGTGTGTCATGATGTGGGCATTTTCTTAGTAATTCCTTGTACCTATCCCAAGCATCAAGAACTGCTTCATCATTCATTTGTCTAAAGAGACAAATTTCATTTTTGAACTTGGCACTCTTGGTCAGGGGAAAATACTTTTTTAAAAACTTCTCAGTCATTTCATTCCAGGTGGTGACTGAGTCTAGTTGCAAAGAGTTGTACCATACTTTGATTATGTCTCTTAATGAAAAAGGAAATAACTTCATCATTAAGGCTTTACCAGAAATTCCATTAAGATGGAAAGAGTCAGTGACTTCCATAAAAGATCTAAGATGCAAATGAAGATCCTCATATGGTAATCCTGCATATGACCATCTGTTTGTAACATGTGAAACATGATGGGCTTAAATTAAAAGTGATCACCATCAATAGTGGGCCTACGTATCCCATGATGTAATTGATTTAACATTGGAATAGTATAATCCATGCCACCAGTCCTTGAATTTGCAAGCCTGATAACCTCCTCATAAGGATTGGGTATTGGATTAGGTTCTACTTGAGCCATTTCAGGAATAGCTAGAATAGGCAACAAATTTCTTTATACCCTTATTCTCCTTCCAAACGTTCTTTCAATGTCCGGATCTAACTCAAAAATAGTCCCTTGAGGTATCCTTGGCATAAACCACTAAAAATGAACACTTGATGGTAGAAAAATCAAATTTTAAAGTAACTTAAAGAAAACTCTTTTTGGCTAAAATCCCCGACAACGGCGCCAAAAAATTGGTGTGGAAGGATCTACACCCACAAAAGGTTACAATGACAAGTAAATCACGCAAGTATACATGGCTTACAAGTATCATCCAAATCAAGTAATGATGGTAAGTAATACCAAATATCGTTCCTCAGAGATTTAAATTGCAAAGAGAGTCACAAAAGTCAACTTTAAAGTGAGATTTCAGAAAAGGGTTTTTGGAAGCAATAAAGCTTTAGAGAGAAAATATCTTTACGAGAGTTGGTAACCAAATATTAAAATGCAACAATAATTAAAATATAGTATGGATGCAAGATCAGGTTGGATTTTAGCAACAAAGTGAAATGGATATTTCTATACAAATAGCTCTTTACAACAACACTACTGGATTGCACGACCTTCCAAGAAAGGGAAAATTAGACCATATGTTGGAAGTGCACTTGGTGATGCATCAATCCCAAACTAGTACAGATCTTGCCTTTCTTTCCAAATAGTTTTGCAACCCATAAGATTACGACGACTCTTTATAGCCTCTATAACACAACTAGTAAAAATATTTGTGTTGTCTTAATTTTAAGTACAACTCATCTGACTAAAATAACATGTGTCAATTTGTCAAAGATTACCAGATGAAATATTGATACCATTTGTGAATAATGAAATAATTTGCTATTAACGAGCAAACATCAACTAACATTTGGCATAATCTCACAACCTTCACTTACACCCATACTAAGGTATTTAGCCTAGCATGACTAAATGTAAGTGCTTAAAAGTAAATGACATAAACGAAAATTACTGAATGTAAAGGACGTACAAGTAAATCTTGCATGAAAAATAAAGAAAGCTGGAAAGGTTGCTGTAGCAACAGACAGTAATGAAGAAAACTGAAAATTGCTTGCAAATTAAAAAGTAAAAAAGAAACAAATCTTAGATCAAGCTTTGTTCCTGATGACGATTGTTCCCAATGGTTACAAATTAACACACTACACTTTCTTACCATGTTCAAAGGATTACCCTCACTATTTATACAAAGAAAAAGGAATCAAAAAGTACAAAAAGGTGCTACTACCCAATGGTTAATAACCAAAGGTCAAAAGAAATATGCTTAAGGCATCTTGCAGGGGTATCATCTATCTAAGTCAGCCTCCAGGAGTACTAAGAAATGCCTTTTTAAAAATCTGGACTTTTCACTTCTTCAACACAATTGAGCCTTGGGGTGCCAATATCAGCGTCCAGTGCTGCAGCAACGCTTTTGTTAACATTTTACTCACCAAATATATAAGACATTACCATTCTTGCATCCAAGCTCCACTAAATGTAAAACCATAAGATAAGACTAAAAGACTCAATATAGGATTGGGAAAGGTGTAAATGAAGTGAAATAAACACATAATTAGGTGCTAAGGTGTGTTTGTCCCACAATTCACTGATCAATCTTCAATCTTCATGACAATAATGGCAGATCTGGATTTATCTTGTAAGAACATCAAGAACAATATTATGAATATTGAGAGGAAAAGTCAAAGCATTCAAAGTATAGTCAAACTCTCATTTACGTATCAAATCTTACAAATGAGCTCTCTCCTTTACAAATTACAAAGACTATTCTATTTATATGGTCAAACCTACTAACACAAGTCAAAGTCAAACTCCTATAAGAAAAGTCAAACACGCTGACTTTTACAATTACAGACAATATTTAACTTTCAAGACGAATACAATTAATACTGATTTTCAGTCCTAACATTCTCCCCCTTTGTATTCAGACTTGAAAGAAAATTCTGCACTTTGAGTCCTTGTTTGAACTTTGAAACATTACGCACAATATGTCAACTTTCAAAAGAAATCTTCAACTTGTAATCTTCAAGTAATCATCTGTTGAGAAAGACCTTCTAGCATTCTCCCCCTCGAACGTAGAACCGCAGTGATCTTCTCTTTTGACAATGTAGAACAGTAATCAACAAAAACAATTTACAAGATGTGATCTTCAAAGAATCTTCAGTAAAC